CTGGATGGTCAGGACTCATTGTAAGTGAATTTGTGCACCTACCCATCCATACATCATTGTTAAAATTGCTTCTTCATTGGTCTACCACATTCAGAGAGTTGGAGAGAAATGGATGGTTTTAACAAATAGAATGCATTTATTTTTATGTGATGTGTTTTTGTGTTCTTTACCAAGGGCATCCCCGGCTTACGTGGAGAGTCAGGTGATCAAGGTCAAAGGGGTGAAAAGGTAAACAAGTAAAAAGATAACTAAGACCGACTACAGTACTGTTCAAAGGTCTTGGGTCATCCCTTAGTTCTTTATGTTTTGCTTCCAACTACTTATTCAGGCTTTCTAAAGGTCTTTCAAAGTGTCTTTCATCCTGTCTGTTAACATATGTTTCATATCTTCTTAGGGTGACAAAGGAGACATGGGACTGCCTGGACTACCTGGAGTTGATGGCGTGAAGGTAGGAGCAGTTAACAGATTTAAACAGAAAAACAGTCGTAAACAAAACAAACAGGATCATATAAGTTGTAGTCTTTTGTGGGATGTAAATGACTGTTTAATATGTTTGGATATATCAAGATAATTTGGAAAATAACAAAAGGAAGACAAATGCCAAATGAGATTCACATAGTGGTTCATTCTGATCAAAGAACGCTCATCCAGGTGGTTCTGGTTTTTATTTACTGGGGCCATTAAAAACACTAGAAACATTACATCACTGCTGCTTTGGGATTTTCCTTTTTTTAGGGTATCCGTGGTCCTGTTGGATTGCCTGGTCCAGAGGGTCCAAAAGGGGAACAGGTACACAAAAAAAAGACTGCAGCATTGTTAGCTCTCAGGTTTAGAGCCTTGAATTTTCCCACGTGTAACTGTGTTTAAATGATGTTAAAGACTGACAGATGTTTATGTTTCTCACTTTACTGATGTTGTCTTAGGGAAACATTGGTCTGCCAGGGCCCAGGGGCATGTCAGGGATGCCTGGATTGCCTGTAAGTATTATCTCTCTCTAAATCTTTAATATACTTTTGAGTATGGCAAGCTTATGCAACATCTTTTATTCATGATACATTTTTTCAGCCCTCTTTAACTGTTGTATTTTTCTTTTTCTGTTTGTCATTTTTTCCCCCTCTGATATGCAAAGTTTAGTCAGGAAGATATATCTTGGACTTTTTCAATATTTTATGTTTTCAATTCAAGAATTTCACATGTTTTGCTCAGACACTTTCTGCCAGGGTATGTCTGAAAAATGAAGACAAATGTTATTGTTTTATAATAACCCCTGCAATTTCTGCAAAAAGGCAGACTGCTATCTGTTAGCCTACCCTGTTCTTCAGCTACCAGCCTGTTAAATCAATCATCATTCAGAAGCACTTTATAACTCTGTTCAACCCACTGTGTCTTAAGGAGAAAAAATGTCCATTGACTAAGATGATAAAATCAGCAAGGCTACAGGTGACAGGCTCTTAATGCAGCTGATAAAAGCAGTCGGAAGTCGATAAATGCACTTCATACTGAAAAATCACACTAATGCCCTTTTCTTCCCCTGTCCTCTGTTCTTGCAGGGTTTGTTTGGATTAAAGGTATGAAATCATCACCTCCAGCTCTCTTGTTCTTCTATATCAAACACTCTTCAGCTCTTACTCACCACTCTGTGAAAAAATGGCCTGTTCCCCCTTTTTTAAGTGACTCACATAATCATAAAGATTATGCAGCAGTCTTTATTTCCTTATCGGTGTATGTGATAATTAACAGTTTGATATTGCCATGTGGAAGAGTACGGAATTGTATTGTTATATTGTTACTATTAAATATAATTCTCCCTGCAGGGATTGAAAGGCTACCAAGGTCTGCCTGGTCCACCTGGCAAGAAGGGGCTGCCGGTAAGTCTACAATAGATGGGTAAAAAACACTAGGTTATCATGTTTGCTTTAACAATGCAAACAGTTTTCTGTCTGTTGCAATACCTGGGTGCAGGGCTTTCCCATCTTTCCTACTGCATCTGATCTGGGTGGAGTAGAAACTGTGTTTGCCCCAAATTTGCTCTCATGGTTTAGCAAAGCTTGTTTGGAAAGCTTGAAACAAAACCCAAACAAGGCTGTACAGTTTAATTCTAATTACCGTGAATTACATTACTAAGATATTATCAAATGATTGATATAAGACTTTTTATCTATTTTGGCTAGTTTGTAATAGTTTAGGTTTAGTCATTTGAAGATTAATCTTGTGTTTTAGGGTCCACCTGGCATTCCCGGACTTCCCGGAAAGTCACTGAACATGACCTTGTCTCAGCTCAAGGCAAGTAGTTTCTAAACTGTATTGCCAATTATATGTTGGAATTGTTGTTTTCTGTTACGAAATATTCGATTAAAGTTGCATATTAAAAAACATTTCTTTCCAACAACTTGAAACAGCATGTGTTTAAAAAAGAAAGAAAGAAATTAAAGATATAGAGATATAAAGAAATAAGAATTTTTTAAAAACCCATTCATATCAAAATCATTATTTTTCATTAAATTTACATGGGCTCTAAACATTAAACTTGACCAAATCATATTCTCCTCATTGTCTTCCCATATCCAGGACCTCATGTACATGTCAGATAAGCCCAACTACCTTCTGATCCAGACGTTGCTGGATACTCTTCAGGAGGAGCTTCGGCTGCTTTTGGATCCTCCTGATGGCAGCAAAGAGCATCCAGCTACTACCTGTCTGGAGCTCTGGCTCTGTCACCCTGAATACAGCAGTGGTCAGTTACTGAAACTTTAAAGTAAACACTAAAGCAACACTGAACGATTGTGTAAGGGGGATCCCCAAGCGAGATGGAATAAAAAAAAGGGTTAAATGAGTGTGTCCTGCTCCATTACAGCTTTGTGCTATAATAGAATAGATTTACAGAATAGAATACATTT